AATCCAGGCCCTACTCCTCCCCCCATTGATACCCTCAAATGCAGTTTCTTTTCGGGATTTAGATCTGCAGAACCTGGTCATGGTTATGAGGGCAGGATTGGGGGGAGCTTGTAGAACCCTCTCTCTACCAAAAGAAAGGGAATAATTAATCACCACTGGTCACTGTGATTTAATAATTTAATAATTTTAATAATTTCTTCCCACATCTCCCAATTTTGGTGTGTTGGCACTGAGTACAAAGGGCTTTTCCAAATTACTCCTAGAGCAACTGTGCTAAGTTACCTTCACAAAAAACCTGATGCGTCCTTGGACAGGGGTAATTTGCATTCCATTGACTGACGTTTTACATTGAAGAAATAAATTCCGGTCTGTCTCCATAAGACAAACGTTATGATAATTTTGTATAATAATTTGTAGTTCTTGGCTGATCAGACATTGCTGGGCCACATGAGTCCAGGTGAGCTCCTTTAGGGCAGATGGTGTCTTCTTGTCACTCTGCGTCCAGGCACCTGACATCACAGGTAGTGGGTGTTCAATAAACATTTGTTCAATGCCCATATGAATGAAGAAACACCAGGCTTATCAGAAATTAATGCTCGGCCTCTCAGGGCTAGGCCCTTTAAGTACCAAAAAGGGCAGAGCCAGAAATCCAGCCCAGCGATTAACGCACCAACCACTGTGACTTCCTCCCTCCGAAAACCAATTGTCCCTCTGGCTTCTGCTGACGTCCACTTGTCATGTTCTGTTTTGTGCGAGGCTGGGTTTCTAGCTTTCACCTCTGTTCTCAAAGTGTGACTTGGTATTGCAGCCCCTTCTAGCTCTATCCTTCCCCTCTGAGACCCGGGTCGGCCTGCAGGGCCCCCGACACAACTGACCCCCAGCAGCTCCGACCCCAGCTTGCCACGATCCTTCTCGTCTTGGCTTCTGATTGGTAATTATAAACACAGACTCAGCCTCGGAAGAGTTCAAATGCATCGCCGCCCTGGGGGAGAGCCCTACTTTCGACTTCAGAGGACCTGGTGACATCCTCAGCCGCCATCTTGAGAACCCCGCCACCAGCCGCACGGGGGCTCCAGCCAGCAAGCTCTGCCCAGCGCCCTGCTGCCATGTCCTGCAGGTTGTTGACCCTCTCCTGGCCCTCAGGCCCTTGGGCCTGGTCTCCTCAACCAGCTTGAACAGACCTCTGATAGCCTGAATACGCTCAGACATTAATGTCAATGGAAATTATTGTTTTAGTACAGTGATGTGGGCCTCAGAGATTAATGCACAGAAAAGTAATTAAAATAATGAGACTAATGGGCGCCTGGGTGGCTCAGTTGGTTAAGCGACTGCCTTCGGCTCAGGTCATGATCCTGGAGTCCCAGGATCGAGTCCCACATCAGGCTCCCTGCTCAGCAGGGAGTCTGCTTCTCCCTCTGACCCTCTTCCCTCTCGTGCTCTCTATCTCTCATTCTCTCTCTCTCAAATAAATAAATAAAATCTTTAAAAAAAATAAAAAATAAAATAAAATAAAATAATGAGACTAATAAGCAGAAAATGGAGTAAATACCTATCTCCTGCTGGCATGCAAAGAAGTTGGAGCCAGGTAGATGAAACTAACCCAAGGTCACTTATTAGTGCATGCATTCAGCATGTGAAAATCTTCCCCAGTTTGAAATTGGTGCCACGAGGCACAGTGAGTACCGTAGCCTCCCTTGGACACCCTTTGCTACAAGTATCTTGGAAAACATACCAAAATATCATCTATTTTCTTCTTCATTGTCAGTAGGTAAATGGCAACATTTTTACCTAAGGAAACTGAAAAAAAAATTTAAGGGACCATTTTATTCAGTTTGACTCTACAGGTATTTCAGTTTGTGAGTATTAGACATATGGAGAAGTTGAGATATAACCAAAGATACTCATAAAATACATTTAAAAAGAGTTCTGATGATTTTCCCATATCTGATTCCCACAAAAGTCAGCGTGGAAACAGTAGCAGAGGAAAAGAGACAATACCCAACGTGACCTACACCAGCTGAATGGTAGAGACATAAATCCGCACATTCTTTCTGATCACAGTTAGTGATTTGGCCAGAAAAACCTAGAGCTTTAAAAATGTCTAAATTATTTGAATTGATGATTCCTCTAGTAAGAATCCATCCTGCAAAAAGAACTAGATAGCCAAAGATTCCTAAATACAAAAGTTCATTGCAGCTCATACATGATAATGATCATCTGAGAACAAACTAAATGCTCAACAATAAGCAAGTGGTTACATACACCATGACATACACGAGAGAATCATAGGCAGTCATTACGTTTTCTAAGTCAGTTTAATGACATGGGGATATATTCAAGTTACAATGTTAATGAAAGAAAGAAGACAAAGTTGTATGTGCCATATGATTTAAATTATATACAAAACAATTCTTTGCATAGAAAAAAAAGACAAGATGGAAAAAAAGACTATATGACAGACCATTGACACCATTAAAAAAGAAGGAAAGAAAAAGAAACATGGGCACTGTTGACTTCTGGATGATGAGACTGTGGATGAGTGCTGTTTATATCTGATAGGGTGACAGGTGAGGTATCAATTACTCTTTACTACAGGCTTTGTGTTTCTAGCATCAGTGAAACAAAACAATACCTCATGCTTTAGAAACTGCCACCCATGGAAGATCTAAGAACAGAGATACCAAAAGAAAAATGATCAGAAAGAATGATCAAAGGGAACTTCTTTCTCCCCCCTCCCCACCCTCAGGTTGGGGTGGCAGCAGAACCACCCCCAGACCAGTGTGGGGAGTCCCAAAGCAGAGGAGAGGTGAATCTCACTTCAGGGGTGGGGGGCAGGGGAGGGGTGCATGGGTAGCATGGGGAGACATCACGTCACGGGGAGAAGTCTCCTGCGTGGCGGGATAGCACCAGAGTGTGGTGGTGGGGCCATGATTCCAGTGTCTGGGCAGATGGGCTTGAACGCAGCTTCATGAAGCCCCGCATGCCAGGGTTGGGCACAAGAGCCAAATTTTCCCAAGGTTAAAGAAGGGAGTGGTACTTCACTGAGAAAAGGCCCTTTTTGGTATAGAAAGGGTCCAGGGCTGAGACAAAGGGGCCCCTGGTCAGAGGATGCAGGAGGGATGTCTTACTATGGACTAAATGGGGGCAAGTGGGACATTAGCTTGTGTGGGGGGGGACATGTCAGGTGGATGTACCTGAGCACCAGCACAGATGGTTACCTGGCAGAAGGGGCCAGCAAAAACCCCAGCTGCACAGGCAGAGGTGGACGCCTCTCTCTGCCCCACTAAATACACTAACGTGGTATTTGCCTAAGTCTCCCCCTCCCCACTCAGGCTTCCTTCTAACCCTAGGGGGCAGAAGAAGCATAAGGGGTCAACCTAAATGGGACTGGATTGCCACCAAGCATCTGGGAGATAAGGTTACCTATAAGTGACTAGGTTAAATTTCACAAAAGACGGCTCAGACTCAGAAATTCAAGTGTGTGTGGGAAATAAAGTTGTATTGTATACACCTGAGCTTATGACCTATGAAGTATGTACTCCTTGCATATATTTTCGTGACTTTCAAATTTTTAGTAATGACCATATTTTATATCTTAAAAGATTACTTAAAAGAAAAGCATTGCATCCACACAAAGTTGCATAAGGTGGATGGAAAGTCACCCTTGGTCCTGAAGATCATCCTGCTATATGACCAGAACTTGTGTGTCCCGAAGAGCCAGGACCTCACTCTCAGAGAGAACCTGGAGCCGCAACCACAGCTTCTGAGCCTCTGTCATTAAGATTCCATATGACCATAGGAGTACCTGGAAGTAAATATGAAAACAGTCCTTACATCTACCTCCTTGGCCTCCTCACACTTCCCCCTTGCTTACCTTTCAGCTCCCAGCAAGTCAATGGGATTACGCTCCTTTGTAGAAAGCTTCTCTCTTTTTTCAAGATGAAATATTATTCTCAATATCAGAGAACAGGACAAATCCATCTACGCTTAATGGTGACCTCTAAATGTTTGAAGAACAGGTGGGACTTCATGTTAGGGCTTCTCTGCTCCAGGCTAAACCAAGCCAGGTCCTTCTATGATTTTTTCCAAGCCTCTCACTATCCTGCCCACACTCCTGTAGGCCACACTGGGGATTGTCAAGGGCCACTTACCAGCAATGCCTGGAACCAACACTCTGGCCCTGTGCTCTGGCCATAAAGACTCACTCTAATTCTGCTAAGGCTTCGAAGGGCATTACAGAGGCATCTGTGTTCTTAGCCACCCCCAAAGCATCTTAGCCTGCAGGGAAGGACTCAAACCCAGAGCTTTGCCAAGGGAGTGGCTGTTAGACCAAGGCCCCCGCCTGCTGCACTGGGGGGGGGGGGCACTGATCACACCCAGGTTGGTGCCCATCTGCGCAGGGCCCTGGCAGCGTGGTCTGAGGGATCAAAGCTGCCCACCCAACCCTGCCTCGGGAAACTCCTCCTCTCACCCCTGTTCCACACTTCAGGCAGAAATCGCTCCCTCCCTTCCTTCTTTTCTCCAAGGCTCTCACCCAAGATCTTAGCGTCTCCCGTAGCTCTTCCGGCTCACTCTAGACCATCTGTATCTTTGCTACATCTGCGGGCCTCGTTTTCCCTCCAGGAGGAGATCATTCTTTCTTTCTTTTTTCAATTTTTTTTTTCATTATATTCAGTTAGCCAACATATAGTACATTGTAAGTTTTTGTTGTAGTGTCCAGCAATTCATCCGTTGCGTATAACACCCAGTGCTCATTCTTTCTGACACTAGAGGATTTTATCAAATTGCTGCCGATCCCCACTTTCCCCTCGCAGACCCCATGGCAGGCCCTGATCCCAGCAAGGGACACTCCATGAGCATGACAGGGCTGGCTGTGCCGGCCCCTCCTCACCTTGGTGCACAGCTCACCCCCTCCATGTTCCAAGCCGACTTTGGAGCACCTCTTCCCCCCCCCCGCCTGCCCCCAGCAGCATTGACTTTGGCAGATTTCTGGGGGACCAGTGATGTCCTAACCTGTTTGCTTTTCCAGAGCTGATGTTCGCAGGGGTTTACTTAGAACCAGAACAGAAATCATCCCACGTCCTTATGCAACTCCTCCAGCAGGCTCCGTCAGATAAATAAAGCCCTCGGCCCTCCACCGGCCTACTTTTTGGAGCAGAGCACCTGGGTTGGTTCCTGAAGCTTCCAGCCATCCACCCAGCTGCTAGGGCCTCTCTGGAGCAGCCATGAGGTCCCTCGCCCTGCTCCTTTGCCTCGCTCAGCTCTGGGGCTGCCGTTCTGTCCCAGTGGGGCCAACTCTGGCTTATGACGAACCGAACTGTGACGACCCAGAAACAGAGCAAGCAGCCCTGGCGGCCGTGGACTACATCAATAGCCACGTGCTTCGAGGCTACAAGCACACCTTGAACCAGATTGACAAAGTCAAAGTGTGGCTTCAGGTAAGTGACCCTGCTGTGTCTGAGCCCAGAGAAGCTGTGTGCGGAGCTCCGCTGGGTGCCTCAAAGATCACACCTCCTAGCAGGAGGAACCTGCAGAGGGGAAAACTCTCTGGTTTCTTCCCAGGAGCAAGGGAGGGAGCGGGGGTGGGGGGGTGGGGGGTGGCGGGGAACAAAGAGGAGACATTCTGGGTTGTAGTCATGGGTCTCAGGAGGGTGCTGGACAGGGGGTGAGGAGGTGTGTGAGACAATAAAAGTCCTCAAATGATATTTTGAACAACTACAAGGATTTACCAAGCTCCGCTATCTCCGCCTTCACTGTTACTCCTTCCCAACTGTACTAGTGTTTCGTCAGAGGGAGGCTCGCTCTGCCCCCTCATCCCCAGAAGGGGGCAGTAGAGAGCAGCAACTTCGCATCCAGGCATCCACAAGCCCAAAGACAAAAGCCAAGGACAACTTTTCCTTTAGGAAGGAAAAGAAAATGGGGAAGGAAGGAAAGTAGATGATGAGAGAGAAGGCGGAAAGAAGTAGAAGAAGCGGTGGAAAAGACAAAGAAGAAACACTAAAATATTATCCTGTGCCACCCTATTTTGCCACTTGATTGAAAAAAAAAAAAACCAAAGCTGATTTTTACAAGGCATCCCTTGAAGGGTGAAATTTTAAAAATTAATTATCAATGCTCATTTTTAGCTTCCAAATAGAGCTCAGAGTGATGACTGTGGTTCCATCGACCTACCCAAGCCCATTGGCCCTTTCTTCTTTGCAAACACCATCTAAGAGCTTGCCCAGCCAACAGGAGAAGACCTGAGAAGCCCTAACCATCGTCCTGTCCACAGGCCAGGGCAGAGCTGGGGGGAGGTGCCGACTAACAGGAATGACTTTTCCCTCACCTCTCCAACAGGGCTAACTTCAAGCCCAGTGGGGGCTCACACTTTGGTGCGCTCAACGGGATCAGTGGAATAGGCTGCTCACCGCTTCATTCTGTGTCTCCACAGCAGCCAGTGGGACAGGTGTTTGAGCTTGAAATAGACACGCTGGAAACCACCTGCCATGTACTGGACCCCACCCCCCTGGCCAACTGCACCGTGAGGCAGCTGGTGGAGCATGTAAGTGCCCCTCCCAGGGTGACTGCAGGTGGTGCCCCAGCCAGTTCCCCGGTGGTTCTGCAAAGTGCAGGCCCATTTTATCCAGCTTCCCAGCCTCTCTTCATGGCTAGCCAGCGTGCAGTTGCTAAAATGACCATTTGATGCTGCCTGCCCTGGGACGGATTTTGACAACAGTTCAACTTCCTTGTAGCCCTTTCTGAAACCAGAGAGCATTATGTTTCAGTAACACTCAGTCAAGGTGATTTCATGAGGCTCATCTGTGACATCATGTCTGAGGGACCACCCCACCCCCCACCCCCGGACTTCCAGTGAGAAATGAAAGGCCAGCCCCCCTCCCCAGCCCTCACTGTGGGTTTATTTCTCCAGGCTGTGGAAGGGGACTGTGATTTCCGGCTGCTGAAACAGGATGGCCAGTTTTCCGTGGTGTTTTCCAAGTGCGATTCCAGTCCAGGTAGAGATGATAATGATTATTGTTATTTTTACCTTGTGGAGAGAGTGAGGAAGGGACCTGAATTGCTTTCAGTGTAAGCAGTTTTAGCCACTTGGTTGGTGAGGAAAAGAAGGAGCCCAATTTCCTGGGATCTGGAATTGTGAAACTTTGTTTAAGGAGCTGTTGTCCTTGAAGATGAAAATTCCCCTTGACGAGAGGGGCTCCTGCAGAAACGTCCAGCAGGACAGGAGCCACCTGAAGGCTTAGTAAGAAGCAGAGAAAGCAGCTGACGCCATTGGGAGCATGTCCTAGGCCTTTCAAAATAAGCTAGAGCCGGGGCGAATGCCCTGGAGAATTCCAACCCATACTGGTTTGTTTCTTCTCGGTGCGTAGACTCAGCGGAGGACGTGCGCAAGGTGTGCCCAGACTGCCCCCTGCTGGCCCCGCTTAACGACACCAAGGTAGTGCACGCCGTGGACGTTGCGCTGACCGCCTTCAACGCTCAGAGTAATGGCTCTTATTTTCAGCTGGTGGAAGTCACTCGGGCTCAACTTGTGGTAAGACTGAGACCTTTGGACAGGACTTTGGGCAGTTTGGCGGCAGTGCGGGAATGTAGGTGGTAAAACAGCGGTGAGGGACGGAGCAGGGGCAGGGGCAGCGACAGGAAGGCAAGGCGGGTGGTAGGAGAAAAGGGAAAGATGGGGTCCTTAGGAGTATGAGCGGTATGAGGACACCGAGTGTCACGAGGATCCAGAGAGGACCCTCAGCACCTCACCCATGGGGAGTCACCCTAACATAAAACAGCCAGCCGCTGCCTGTCCCAGGTTCCTCAGCTCTGGTTACCACCAGGGCTCGCTGGGCAGCAGGTGCGAGTTCCGACATTATCCAGAAGCGCGCGCTGTCAATTCACGGGTTTGCACGTGCTTGTCACCCATCACCACTGGTCGTCCGCACTCTCCTAACTGATACTTACAAAGGTGTGAGCCTACTTACACAGACAGGCGTATAGGTGGCAGGATCCTAAAGTGCCTTTTGAATCACTGAAACAAAAATTTAATTGTATAGTGGAGCATTGAGCACATTTGATTGCAACAGAATTCTAATATTTAAGAAAACTGGTCTTCTGGATACCAGCCATGGCATACTTGGAAATGCATTCTACGTATAGGTGGTGATTCTGATGAACCAGAACATGTGATTCTCAGAAACCCCCACCCCAGACAATACCACCAAATAACAGATATTTTATTGTTGCAAGCATCCAAATGCTACAAGAAAGAAAAGCACAAGTGTCTTCTCTACTTTTCTTTAGATTTGTCATTGGATCCTGCTCTCTATGATAGGATAGGTGGGAGAGGTGTTAATCTCTTCACTTTCCCACCCCATCTTGGAGTAAGCTGAACCTTAGGGCTCCAAGTGCAGCCCTAAGAGGGAAGGCCGTGAATCACTATATTGTACACCTGAAACTAACATTATGCTGTATGTTAAATAACTGGAATTTTAAAACAATTTTTTTAAAAAGAGGAAAGGCCAGGGGAGGGGAGGGCCCTGGGCTCCCACTCAGGTCAGTTAAGGTGGGCACTCTGGAAACTCATCTCTGCCCGGAATGATGGGCAGTGGATACCTTTACCTCCTTCAGCTCTGTATACAAGCCCTTCAGAGCACAGAGCCCCAGTAACTGACCTGTGGTGGCCACTGGGGGCCATATTTGCTGGCCACTCAGTGTGTTCTTGGCGAGTGTGCAACCCCAGTGCCCTTGCTCCTCCCCTCCAGCCTCTCCTTCCCTGCCTTTTCGGGTGAAGTCGTGTTGCCTCCTAAGCATTTTCCTTTATCCTCCTCAGCCTCTTCCACCTTCTACGTATGTGGAGTTTGCCGTGGCTGCCACGGACTGCGCTGCTCAAGAGGCCACCGATCCCGCCCAGTGCAACCTGCTGGCAGAGAAGGTGAGCGGGCCACGCCGTGCGGACGGCAAAACCGGTGGTAGAACAGAGCGTCCTCACATCGAGTTAGTATCTTGGGGCCTCAGAGAGAACACTGAAAAATACCCACTCCCCATGGGCCTGGGTTATGCCAGACCTTCCTCCACGGTGTCACCTCCCCACTGAAGAGCTGTCCCCAAGTCATCGCCTCACTGAAGGCCCCTGGGGTTCGGAGAAAGACAGAGGCTGTTTCCTAACTGGGCCAAGTCACACCCGGCTTCTAGGAGTGCATTGTAGATTTTCTGGATACGCCACTAAGACGAAATCTTTGAAGTCCTTGATGCCGTAATGTCCACTTCTAGGAATCTAGCCTAAAGAGATGATCAGAGATGTTTGACAGAAATATATCTAATGAGATGATTAGATTTTGATCATGGATTCAAAATGGCCCGAAAGAGACCCGAATGTCCAACAGGAGGGCATCATTGAATACAATATGGTACATCAATAAATAGAAAATTATACAGACCCTAAAAATTAGGTTTTGAAAGAATAATGAGTGATATAAGAAAATGTTATCATATTATAGTGAGTGAAAAACACAGGGTACGAAATGGTATAGTCACAATGATCCCAATTTTTAAACGATTTTTAATATGTTTAAAAATAAAAAAGAAATACATGTATGTTGACAGAAGTTTTCCTGGGTCCACCACAATTTCTGGGATGATGGGTGATCTCTCTTTTTTTTTTTTTAAAGATTTATTTATTTATTTGAGAGAGAGAGAGAGAGCATGAGCAGGAGGGGCCGTGGGGAGGGAAAGGGAGAATCTCAAGCAGACTCTGCACTGAGCATGGAGCCCAATGAGGGGCTCTATCCCATGACCCTGAGATCACAACCTGAGCTGAAACCAAGAGTCGGACACTTAACTGACTGCGCCACCCAGGCGCCCCTTATGGGTGATCTCTTACAATCTCAAAGCATACCTGGATTTTCTGCCTTCTATTTAGAATTACATATTGTATATCTTCTATAAGCAGAAATAGAAACTTTTAGGGGAAAAATTTTTTTAAGGAGTTAAGAATTGAAGGTTTTTTCCCCTTCAACCTGGAGGATCAGTGAAACTGGGGGAGAAAATGCACTTCTTTAAACCAGTTTGAATAACTCTTCTCTTTCTGCGTGCAGCAATATGGCTTCTGTAAGGCTACACTCACTGAGAAGGTTGGTGGGGAAGATGTGGCCGTGACCTGCACCGTGTTCCAACCACAGGTAAGGGCATCGTGGGTATACTGGCCCTCATCCTCAGAATACAATGGTCCTTTAACATATATGCAGTGTTAGTAATGACAGGGCATTTGGGCCCTGTCCTTCTGAGCCTCACAATCTTAAATAGCTCTGGGTATATGGAATCGTCAACAAATGAAAGGATACTTCCACCGTGTCTTCCCCTCCAGCAAACTAGTGCCTGCAGGAGAGGGCCAGTGCTCGTGTGAGGTTGACAAATCCATCTTTCCATTCGCAGGGGGTGGGGGGTGGTACTCTGAGTTGTGCAGGTGGCCAGATCTGCCCGGCTGCCCACTGTGGCTGCAGGTGTAGGTGAGAAGCAGGTGACACTGCTGGTAGAAGCTATAAAGCGGGGGTGCTTTTGCTCGTGGGATATATGTATAAGTCCACCGAGCCCAAGACAATTGGTGAGAAAGGGGCTACCACAGGTCAGTTATCCCTCCCTTCTGGCTCTGATGACAATCCTTTAAACCTAGGTAGTCCTTTTTGGTCAGATTCCTTGCCAATAAAAATTATTACTGGGAGAGAATTGGGTGGGTTTCACTCAGAAGCATGAGTGGCCTTGCTTGTGAGCAGAGAGGTGGCTAACCTGGACATGGTCCTCTCTCCAGTCTTTGCTCCCGCAGCCCCAACCAGACGGCCCCGATGCAGTGGCCCTCGCCCCCGTGGCAGACCCAGCGGCGCCTGCGCCTTCCCCGGCTGACCTGCCGGCAGCCGCCCTGGTGGTGGGACCCATGGTGGTGGCAGTTCCCGAGGCGCTTCTGCCAGGGCACCGCACACACTACGACCTGCGCCATGCCTTCATGGGGGTGGGCTCCGTGGAGTCTGCCTCAGGAGAAACATTCCATGTGGGGAAAGCCCCCAAGGTGGTGCAGCCTGGTATTGTTGCTGGTCCTGGTCCAGTGGTCCGTCCTTGCCCAGGGAGAATCAGATACTTCAAGGTGTAGATGTAGGTCAGAGATAAGAAGGTTTGGCCCAGGAACGTAGATAGCCACCATTTCCTCCAAGTCTGGGTATGGGAGGGGGTCTTGTTTGCTATCAAAGCAGGTGCTATACACGTCTAGATTAATATCAAGTCTTCAATCCCAACTCCTCTTCATTCCTCAGGGAATGGAAGCAGAGGGGCAATGTTAGGTCTCATGGAAGGTATAAGGCTGGCAACTTGATGGTCATTGTTTTGATGCTAAGTCATCACCATCGTGTTCTCGGCCTTCTTTGACCTCACAAAAACAACTGGAACCGGGACTTTGAGAGGTGCTCTTGCCAACCTCATATTTTCTTCTTAATAAAAGCGACTAAAGGACCTTCCTTAGTAAAGAAGGTTCTAAGCTGAAATGTGGTTATGATTATGGCTCATTCCCTCCAAGCTCACATGTGACCTACCTTCAAAATAACCATATCACAAATGTCCCTAGGCAAAACCTAAGTGAAAATAGAAATAAAACGGAACAAAAATCAGCAGTATTACTATACACAGGGGAAAAAATGAGACCAGGACCTGCTCACAAGCCATAGAATGAGCCCATTTCCTTATGAGAAAATCATTCTTTTCATTTCATGAGGGTCAGAAAATACCGTTAAAGGAGGACACAGTGCCTGAACTTTGTACAAACCAACCATTGGTTTTCCCCAATATCCAGGTAAGGGGGGATTAAAATTGGTAATTAACACAGGAGCCTCACTTTAATTATACCTCTTCATTATTTATGTTTAAAATAACTGTTGATTATACTGTATACACTTCATTTCATAATAGAAGATTGGTCTTTCTAGCCAATGCATTTTAACACCTTAAGTTAAAGCTCTGGTTTCTAGTATGAGTAGAGGAGGGATGCTCGTATAGTATAGAATGGTAACTAGACAATTCCATTGTTTTTCCTACTAGCATTAAGTTGTTCTGAGCAATGTAAAGGATAGGCCCTTTCAGACAGAATTTTAAAGAAGTGAGACTAACAACCAGTTGAGTGGGTTCACTTGAACCAAAGAGACCGGATCAAGTGTTGATACCTTATTACTGTTTCCTAGAGGTTTTGCCAGTATTCCAGTAACCAGAAGGAATGGCCCAGAAGGTAGGAAAACCACTAGGTATTTCAGAAGCCAGGGAAGATGAGGAAGGTATGGTCGGCTGGGCTAAATGCTGCAGAAAGAGCAATGAGGATAGGACTAAGAAAAATCCATGGGTTACTTGACTGATTTGGAGGTCATGGCAGATGTAGTTTCACTGGGAGGATGAGTGTAAAAACTACTTGCAGAGGGCGCCTGGGTGGCTCCGTCGTTAAGTGTCTGCCTTCGGCTCAGGTCATGATCCCAGGGTCCTGGGATCGAGCTCCGCGTCGGGCTCCCCGCTCGGCGGGGAGTCTGCTTCTCCCTCTCCCGCTCC